CGTGAATCGTACGAAACAAGACGCTTTTATGTCATTGTGCGTTACGTGCGCGTTGGGTTGTACTATAGTCGAAACGGTTCCTATCCACTCCCCTTTGCCATGGACATGACCACGCTCCTCTGATGAATTAGTATACTCTGTTTCGGGAGACGAGAAGAAAATCTAGTGCAGAGCACACATCATAAAAGACGACGGCTAAGAGAAAAGCGGCTTCGGCGCAATGTGGCTCGGGGGGGGGGGCAGTCGCCGCGCGCGATCTCTGCTCGTCCGCGCCCTGTAGTACTAAGCCTAGGAGTGGGCAGGAACTTTGGGAAGATGAAAATTGCTATGATCCTGGAGTTCCTCCTCCCCTGCCCGAGGCTTAGTCCCGATTTAGCGAAGAGGAAATGCTTACACAGAAAAACGCAGAGATCGCGCGCGGCGACTGCCCCCCGTGCCACATTGCGCCGTGGCTTTTTCCCTTAGCCGTCGTCTCTTATGGTGCGTGGTCTGCACTCGATTTTCTTCCCGTCTTTCGAAGTCAAGGGTACGAGTTTTTGATTGTATTATTATCCATAGAAACTGAATATTACCATGTGAAGCCTCACGCATCACTTGCGTTTTTACGCAATCCTGGACTCGCTCCGAACGCAAGCAGAACATCTCCGTTTTTCGCATCGTGTTTTCCTCTATAGTAGATCCTGTTCAAAACAGTTGAGGGCAGTGATCATGATCGCTTGGGGCCGTGCGGTATTGATGACTTCGCTATACGTCATTTGTGGAATACAGTGCTCACCACGATGGGATGTGTGGTTGAGACCGTCTCTTGATGCCCTTCTACAAATGACGTCATCAAACCCACACCACCCTACAGCGACCGTGGTCACAGTCTTTGAATAATGCCACATTTTAATAATATGGCATATTCACGCAATGCCTTTGTAATGCATGAGCAGTCATCACAAAACAGAGTGTTTTTTGTCAGTTCGGACCTACTCGGAATGAGCTGATATGGTGGAAAGTAGCGAAGGAAAGAAGTTTGTAATTATTGGCAGCGGTCCAACGGCATTGGGTGCTGCCTATAGACTCCACGAGCTTATTCATGAAGGTAGTCTACCTGAATCCACACAGGTAGGTGGATCTATCACTCCACACTTGTTAGCTAAGCATGAATTCTAGCACGTGCTCAATCTTAAGGTTACCGTACTCGAGAAGGAGATTGAAGTAGGCGGTTTAGCCCGTTCAGTCACTGATCGACGAGGCTTTACATGGGATCTTGGTGTACATGTAACAGGTGCGTTGGTTTTCTGCTGGATATCTCCTTACCCTTTTTTACTGAAGAAGCTCTACATTCTGAGTGGCGAAACCACTATGCGAAGGGCAGAAAAGAACATTCCTCACATGGCGCACATCACCAAACTTTTCGTTGCACAGGGAGCTACCGTTGATGCAAAAATATTCCTTGAATGTCTCCCATAAGCGGAAGCAGGCTCTCCTTCACTGCTCCACCGTCCTCAGATGACATCGTCTTCCATCACACCTGCTACCACACAATTTCTTCAAACGGTTAACTGGTGGACAATAGTAGCTCTGAATACGCAAAACCCCTTCCCGGCTTGGATAAGGTCGTAATGGCCCATGATCCTTCGAGACCTCGTTGAGTTCTAATCGCACTACACCATAATCTCGTGGGAAAATCTTCTTGATTCGCCAGGATAGAAGGCTATCTTGAGATTATTCGATGATCTAAAATGCGCTCCTCACTTCAATACAACCGGGGCTACTCGGTTTGAATTTGGAAATTTGTGATCAATTCCGTTCTAAATGTGGAGATGACCCTTTCTATTGCCCCCCACCCCCTGTATATGCATACAGCAGTTTGGAGAGATATTACTCATGCTACCAAGCAAAACTGATATCACAAGACTTGCAAACGTGGCAAAACTCGGTGGCGGATTTATATGTTGGGTCGGGTTAATTCATGAGTCAGCCACCTATATTTTGCAGACAGACTGGCACACAAAAGGATTTGATTACTGAGCATTCGCGTGATAACTGCATGGCAAAATGCAACCTTATACAGCACTTATAACGGCAAAGCAAGCTCAAAAATTTCAATAATTGATGAATTTTCGACTTCGCAGCTCCCTGCCGATGTTGGCCACCCGCTCATCGCTCAAAGGCGGATTTTACGATTAGAAGGCAGGCAACGTAGAGGTAGCCGGTGGTGCTGGTATGAAGAAAAAACGCATTGGAAAGGACCTGAAACTATAAAAAACTCGGTGGGTACATGTATGTCATCGTTGATTTCCGGCATAGTGTGATGCGATTCCTGCATTGTGCTGCCCTATGCTGAATAGGACAAGCTTTTTTCTCTCCGCTAACGGCTACAGACCTGTGGCGGATTGCGTTTCGGTAGGCACCGTTAGGGACTCCTCCTATCTTTCTCACTCCATTCTTCGATCTTCGACATTATCGTTGATCCTACTTTAACACATTGACGACATTGAGACGCGGTAACGCGTCTCACTTTGCGCACCTCGTTGGACATTGAGACGCGTTACCGCGTCTCACCCTTATCATCCCTTTTTCTAGGGCATGCGCAGCTTTTTCCCGAATTGTTTGTCTCTCTTCTATGGATTAGAACATAACATTATTGTGAACGACATAGGTCATTGTTTGTTCAAATATGCTCCAGTTTAGAAGAAGTTTTCCAAGCTCACCGAAACCGGCGGCTTGGTTCATTAATAGTTTTCATGCTATTCTCATGAACACGTCAATAAAAAAGGGTAGTGAAAGTAAATGCAAATCTAAAGAGACAGAAAAATACATGTTTCACTTGGTATAACCACATCAAAAGAGCTTTTGGCATCCACTACAGATAAAATGACTAAAGTTTCCTTTTTCATTACCATTACATGTTCTTTAATCGGAACTTCGTCACTATATACTCTATTACCTTCTACGCATTGACTGTTACTGAGATGTTTTTGTACCACTGGTGCTTTAAAAAGTTATCAATAAAAATTCACGGATCCGAGGTGCGGCGGTCGCACTCGCAAAATCGGCCCGGTCCCACACGGCCAAAAAAGCCAAAACGCGCGCGGTCGTCAATGTGTTAAAGGCACGAGACGGTATTGAATTGATGCGTTTTGCCTGAAAATTAGGCAAGGAGTGCAATGGGGAACATTATTGAGGAAAAAAGCAGAAAGCACCATGAAAAAAACACCAAATTACCTTATGGAGGCCGGCCGTGCCATGCGACGGAGAGACACGGCGCTGCGAAGAGAGGGAAAACGCGAGATAGTACGTCGTAGGCGAGAGGGCGAAGAGACCACATATGCCGTGGTTGATAAGGATGGCAGCACGGCAGCACAAGGCCTTAGCAGCTCGTTGCCGTGCACTTCTGAGTCGCGACAGTGTCATGCCTACGATTTTAGGGACCCTCCCCTCTCGCTCTAGAATGGCCCAGTTTTTGGGGCCCAATCTCGGCTCGTGGCTACGGAAGAAGTGTGGCTGGGTACTGATTAAGCCTTCTGAAATATAATATATCGAAAGACTAGTTAGTATGAAATAATGCTTCGCTAGTGTATGATAGCACAGCTGCTTGGGAAGCGAGCGATGCAGGTTCGAGTCTCACCTGGGGCAGTGCTTTACTTATAATTCAACATACTTGCGATATTTTTTCTACAGTTCAGGTTATTCAAAATATCCGAAATTCACGCACCTCATCAATCGAGCTGTACGTCACTGGAATAACGTGCCACGATGTGTCAAGGTAAGTTTCAGCGATAAATTAAATTTTTTACTAATACGTAGTTGATAATTTTACGCTTGGCAAACGTAGCATGGTGGTTTGAACCTATAGACAACATTCAAGCGGGGATGCGCAACTCACCCTTGTCGTCCCTTCTTTAGCGCGTACGCGGCTCCTTCCCGAGTTATTCTTACTTATTCTGTAGATCATACGTTAACCTAGCTATGAACGCGCCGTGGCCTATGAAATGATCAGATATGCTCGCACAGTAGCTGCTACACCTGTTGGTTTCGGGCATCGAGAGTTGAGGGGAGGCTCGAGTCGGCTACGTTGAGCATTGAGAGTTTGAGTGAGCCTCCTGAGAAGAAGATGATGCGGACGCGCATTTCCATTTCCTCACATTTCTGCTCTCCACTTTCCTGAACTGACATATCCCCCTAGGTTTACGGCCCCTTATTTCGAGCTAATGTTATTACTATCTCGCAGAGCGCGAAAAGGCTGTCTTCGACTGATACGCCCTCCCAATTTTCATTGCACTCTTGTTTCGCTATTTCAGTATTACTATCTCGCAGAGCGCGAAAAGGCTGTCTTCGACTGATACGCCCTCCCAATTTTCATTGCACACTTGTTTCGCTATTTTCAGTGTTGAGTCGAAAAGAGCACCTTTCTCGACAATGCGAACGCGGTTCCGCGCCTCAGAGATCGCACCTGCCAAACTGCCCATGCCCCACGCGGCCAAAGCCGAAACGCGCGTTGTCGTCAATGTGTTAAGGCCCCCA